GATTTTGTTAATCGATTTTTTTGAAATATTATATCTCATTTCAAATCACGAACTTTAAATCGCGTAATAATGGATAGCTGTTGTTGTTGTCTCGGCCTTATAAATCCATGATAAAAGAAGCACTCGCGTGGAGCTAAAGTAGTTTGAATGGTGAAGAAATCTTCTGACAGTAACAATACCGTAACTATGATAGTTACCTTTTACTGCCGTGTCGGTGGCACAGGTAGCGTAGTTGTTGTGATGCCAATGAAAGTGTGAAAGGACATGGTCTGGCCATGTCACGAACCAATTAAGCATACCAGATTTCCGGAGCAAGCCCATTGACACCAGACTGGAAAAAGCTTCCTCCGATCCACAAAAGCCGGTACCCGTCTACTATGAAGGTTTGGAAGTGCCTTAGCACGGTTATCTTGTGACTGCAGTGCGAATCGCCTCGACTAGTATTCAATGGCATTCGTAAAGAAGACCAGTAATTCTCATAGAACAGCCGGATTCACACAGTGCGAAGGCAATCTTCAAATATGGATGAGAGGAAACAAAATTATTACAAGAAGTGCTGGACTCACACTATATGTGATGTCGGCTCATGCAAAATAAAAATAAATAAACTCCCGAGAAGTGTTTCTTAACTATGAACAATTACAATAATCTAGTGTTGAGGACATATTGCTTTCTACAGACATGTAGTCGCCATGGTTTTTAGCAGAAAATCATTAGAGATAAAGTTAGTAAGTAAATTGATCTCCGTAGATCAAATTAAAATAATCAGTTTCGACTAAACACGACGTGGAGAGTAATATTTTGTTACGTGCTTCAAATTCGCCGAAAAATCAGTTATATACACTATATTTACTTAGACCGTTTTTCTTCCTTCGCGTCATGTTTGGCAATTTACTAGAATTGTTTTTTTGAAAACTAAACTGCATACAGATATATTTACTCCTGTACAATTCTGATAGATAACTGTATCATTTTCCTATGAAAAAAGCGGCAGTGATTTAGAAGCAAAATGCTGTCCATTCATATCCTGTCGAATTCACATAAAACTTTCCATAGATACGATTTGTTGAGAACCATTCAAACATTTCTGAACTTGATAAAATAAATGAAATAGAGCTTTAGATAGAGCATAGATAGATGAAAGAAAGTCGCGATTTCAAACAAGACAGAGCATAAAATTTTCATGAAATAAGAAAAATCAAACGAATAAATTGCCACGAATAAACGACTTACCAAGAAATTTCACTAGTAAGGTCATTCTCAAGGTGTCCTCGTCTATATATCGCTCAGCGCTAAGATTCCTGAAGCGCAAACCGGTCTGCTTAACGTTGTCTAGCTCTCTGCGCTAATGGAGGGTCAACAACTGACAGTAAGTAGAGAAAATCAGGTTAACTTGCGTTGGGTAAAACCCCTTCTGGGGAATCACATGCAGTATGATAATGATAGGCTGTGGTAGTCGTAGAACGGTGTTAGCTAACTATTATATACCATAATCATTTAAAACTGTTACAAGTTGCGATTTTTTCGATAAGTAAAATTTTTGAACGGAAGGAGAAGGACCTGTAGAATGTAATCCGACCGCCTAGCAAGATATATTAGCGTGAGAGTTGCTAGTCCTTTTGAGTTCAAGCCGTCCTTTCTTTTGACTGGTCATGAATCATTCTTAAGTTCTATACTACTTACAGGAGCTGATGTTTAGCATGAGACCGAATTTTGTAAATTTAGTTCATAAGGTGTAAGAGCTTTGTAAAATATAGTTTTTACTGAACGAAAGTTCCTTTCTGTCACTTTGAGGAATATCTTAGTAATTTCTCTAGAGATAATTTGTTACCATAATTTGAGAACAATGAATGGATTAAGTGGTCACCTAAAAGCATCGTCGTTTTTATGACTAAGATGCATCACTATTAAACTGAAGCAGTGGTGGATCAGGGTAAAATGCAATAATTTCATGAACAGTTCACTAGTAATGCAGCTAAGCTTGCCTTCAAAATGCTCTTTAGCTGTGCTTCACTTAGCAATATCGACGTACTATGAAGTTCTTCATTTATTCAATATTTTGCTGTCTTTTTTCTTGGTGAGCAAATACGGTGCATGCTAGCAATAGAAGACGTTTAGATGGTAGTCCAGTAGTCTGAAACATAACCTCTCACACGAGAGTCTATCACAATTCCGCAGAATAGCTGCCTTGTAACATTTTAAGCGATTTCAATAATCCAGGAATAACCTGCAACGAGGAGCATCTTGTGGTCACGATTAACCTTGCCCCATTCTTGAGGTTAGTATTTCTGATCTGATCCAGATATGTTCCTTGGTCTGCTAAGACTGTATGCGGCTGGCCCACCAAATAGTAAGTTGAATAGCTGAAAAGAACAAAACAGCTGCTGCCCAAAAGAAGCTGCTTATTATTTTAACGAAAGGTTGTGCAACGAAGTTTCTCTGGTGAAATTATGAGCGATTGGCAGAGTAGGTTGAGAGCCAATTTCACCTTCTCAGTGTGTGAAAGGGATGGAACTGCCAAAACGTCATCTCAAATTGTATTGAATAAATCTTGTTACTATCAAGATCATATTCGCTCATAAAGATGGATTTGGCAATAGTTCAGAAGTCGTTCTTGATATGATTCGTGGGTGTTAAATACGAGCAAATCATGACCATAAGGTCCACTCTGATTCTTTCCTTCATAAGAAAATTCCGTCAGTTTTCAAGAATGCAGCGTTCATTATATTCCTTGTGAACAGAAAACAGAAGTTCGGGAATTTCTGCAATAGTGATCTACATTGTGCTGAAATTTTAGATTGTCTGAATTTCCGTCACTTTGATACTAAGTCGACTCATGCTGTAGAATCAGCATTCATCATGGGTTGAAAGCTGCTATTTTTTGCAATACTGTTCATCTGTATCACTTGTAATATTCTTAATCATTGAAGGACTTTGCCAGGTTTTGGTAAAGCCTCATTTGATTCATCCACTTATCAAATGGCCCTGTGATATCTGCTCGTTATTGGCACACAAATATCATTTTCTATACAAGATTCTTTACTGTTTTTTGGTGTGTGAATACAAATGAGTGCTTCGCTCGCTTCAGCAGTAAGAGCTAGGTATATTATATCCATGCCATCCTGATAAAGACGTGAAGCTTATTGCTGTAGATGATCATGAACCGCTTCCTTTTTATTCCTCAATCTCTCGATATCTCACTTTGGTGAAATCCAAGATCAAGCCATATACAAGTAAACACACTCATCAATGACTGCGTATGAATACATGCACTGTAAATTAATTCAGTTCGTCATGCTGAATTCTATCTGTTGAGTCGGCTTGAATCCCACCCAAGGCATGAATAGCGTTTATTCTGCTTTAAGTTCATTACCACCAACCAATTTACCCAAAATAGTATCGTGTTGGCTTTTATCAAGATTATACCGTCCCTTCGTTTCTCTGTCCCACGAAAATAACTGCGCATTTTGTTGTAAGTTTCCTCCAACAATGGCCAATGCTATCAAACAAACTCTGCATCTAACTAGAAATTATGTTACTCTTTAAGTTGTGGGATTAGTGGTGCCTATGTTCTATTTTGAAATCCGGTCTCAATGAGCCAAAAGAGGCAAAAGACAGAAATAAAAAAATCATTAGCTCATATGTTTTAGCAAACAACGGACGAAGTCCCAAACAGAACATCATGCGCAGAATTGGACCATTTGTTAAAACTGGCGACAGAAATTTTCATAGAGTCTAGAAGTTTGTCAGAGCGTATATCAGGTCAGTCTCTCCTATCATCCAAGGGAAATTGCGCTTCATCAGAATACCTCACATTAATGAAAGAACACTACATTGAGGTAATCATGTTGTACACTAAATTTTTATTCCTCTGTGATGTAGAAAAGCAAATATTTCGAGAATTTCTCATCGAAAAGTAGATATATGGGAGCGCCGTGGCCGAATGATCGTGATGCTCTCTCGGAGCGCGGTGAAGTGTCACTCCACCCTCCAACTCTCTCCGGCAGTCAAGAAGAGAGGCTTAAGGGACGCCACAGCCAGGCTAGCTTTACGGTCGCAAGGTGACTTGCTCAACCATTATTCTAAGCCGTTTAAGAATCAGGCAAAAAATAAATTGAATGCTAGAAGTACTGGGAGTCACAGAGAAAAAAAAAGAGAAAACACTTTGAAGACGGACTGATAACATAAAACTAATCAAAAATTAAAGTAGGATATGCAATATTTCTAAAAACATATGCTAGCACAATATTGAGGGTATACAATGCAAACATTGTAGAAACATTTTACCAATCTCCTTGCTATGGGCCTCAGGTCCAACCAAGGGGCAAAATGCATATCGGGTCTATGAAGAATAGAGCGTTCAACGTTGGTCAGTCAATGAATGATGCGCTATGCATTCGACTACTTTAAAAGTTGACTGAGTGCACATGTGGCCTAAACAAGGAGTTTAGATGACCAGCACTTTTACCACGTCAGTGTTGATACAAAACTATGGTTATTACTAGTCAAAATGCGATAATTACAATGAGTTCCGTTTTGTCAACGTGTTACGAGTATAGGCATTAATTATATCCAAAAGTTTTAACCGCTGAATTGAGTTATTTAGAGGGACTTTTTGATAGCATACTAGATGTTAAGTATGTTTTTTATAAGGGATATCGCTCTATCCGTCATAATCTTTTAACATGAATTACTTAGCTTCAGTGGATAATTCGGTGGTTTATCTCTGTCCAAAGTACGTCAATCGCCGCTGATTGTCACCATAAGTTCATTTTCAGTTGAATACCACGATGCGATAATGGTCACCGTTGTTGTAGATAAGGAGATCGGAGCATAAATTCACAGACGACAGAAACTTTGTTTTCTTTTTCACTCAGACAGCACTCATCTGTAAAGCGTTCGTGACTCATGATCAATCGGAATTTATTTATCTGAGCGCTTCTTGCAGTGGTACGATGTTACAGTATACCCATTAATGTGAACTGCTGTGCAAGAACATTTGCTTCAGCCGGGAAGCGAACCCAGATCTCACTCTTTCCGTGAGCGTGTGCTAAACCGTTGCACTACCGACACTCGTTTTGTACAGCACTCTTTCTACGCTACAACGCGTTATCTGCCAACAGCCAACCGTCGACGGTTTGGCAGGGCAGGCGCTATCTGCATTGAACCTATTTGTGCTAAAAGATATTGGGTATCAATAATCAAACGTTTTATATATGTTTCTGCACAGCTTTTGTGACTTTTAGATTCAACTGAGGCTCTCTAATATTGATAATTTACTAAAGCAAAGCTCTCTGCCTCTTTCAAACTCTTGTAATTTGCATTATTAAACGATTTTGAGTGCTTATCAAGATAATGGAATGTCGGCTTCGACCGCAGTCAATCTAATATCAAAAAATGTAAAGCTAAAATTGTACTGTTTGATCGTGAATGGGCTTTTCAGCCAATTTGGATTTGCGCAAATGTTCTTATATTTTTTACTCACAAGCTCAAACTTGCATAGATAGTTGCTCAGATTTTCTCTCATTCTAGTCTCGTATCATTAATCTAAATCACATTATCAATGACCCAAAAAATTGGAACAGCACTTGGAAGGATATTTGTTATTCCAATCAAAGCATAGGAGATTCATGAATGTTAGTTTGAAAGGGCAAAAAACAGTGTACCTGAATGTTTAACACTGCGAAATCGCATACTGCTAACTGGATCAACTAAAAACTGCATGAATAAGTTATTTTGGAACAGTCAGCAGAAATAATAATGTGGCCAGAAATTTATATTGGAGATATTTTAGTCTGAAGATACTTTCCTACATGAATTGATTACGCATAATTGAACAATTTGATAGTGTTAAACGAGGAATCGATATGAAACATTTTAGGTAAAATGAAAATTGAATGCGAAACGCTTGTGGAAGAGCAAAATGCAGTTGGAAAAAAATTTGATCAGAATTGATCGCTATATTATTGAGAGAAGACTTTTAAGTTTTTGTACCAACATAAGAGCAGTGTTCTTCTAAAAAAGATTTACCAATCGAGATTAATATAGAATAAGCTAAACTGCTAATGGACACTGAATGGAAAAGAATTTGATACGATAGCTCATATTCGGACAACAAGGAAGCCGCGAATTATTACGCGATGACAAAATGACGCTTTTTCTCATCTTTAGCAACTCATGAGAGACCTTCAATCAACCTTTCGTGGATTAGTCATAGACGCCCTATGGAACCAAAGTTTTCCTTCTGGACACAAATTTCACGAGCTTGCAACTACATCACTCTCACGTAATGAGGCATTCAATAAAGTGATTACTTTTTTTCAAATTTATTCAGCATTCTTTTTCAGTTCTCCACAATCTTTTCCAGGAATGAATTCGTGTTGATAAACCTATTCGCGCTCAGCTGAGCCAAGATCTCCTATTACTTCAGCAATTCGCGTTTTTTACAGGGAAGTTAACATGATGAACGACTTTGTCAGAGAATTGAACCAGAGAGAACAAGTGGATTGAAAAGCATAGCCAAATGAGGGGCTTTGTAGCGGATAAAAGCGCTTGTTGCATATCTACCTTCTCGACTACAGGATTGTCTATATATTATGCTACATTTAGCAAAGTTTGACGCAATGTAAGCAACATAGACTGTTTTTTTGTCGAACGACTACTGAGAGAGTAGTAGCATCATCACGGATCAGCCGAATTTCTAATCTGATCATTGAAGAACAAAATGCTTCAGAGGATTTGATGGTAAGAATTTTCAAGATGTCGCGAGGGAGGAAGGCCGAAATCGTAATGCGCCATGGCGACAACCGGAGGGCACGGGCCGCCATCGAGTGCTTGTCATCGCATGGCATATCGAACTTCGAATAAGGTGATCACCGATTTGTATGGTTAGATTGCAACGGTTATCGTAAGACATACATGATGGCACCAACCTTATCCCGGACAGTTACCATTAGATCACTTATACAAGCAATAGTTACAAATGTGATTTAGTGATGATTCATTCCGTGATCAAAGGAGGACAGGTCATACTTGGATTGCAAATTATCCATAAATCTCCAACTAGTTCTTCTTCCTAAAATTCGGCTAAAAAACTACTACTGGCAGTTTGACGACGCAGATTTATCGATTCTTGAAGCGAATTCATTCTTTAATGACTTTCAAGTGGTTGTTTGACTTCTAGGAACGTTATATTAAACAAAGTAGCTTGTAAGTGATGAAAATGTGTTTTCAAATGTATGAAAGGACGCAGTGCAAAGTTTCCTAAGCTCAATTCTTTTGAGCTCGAAAAAATCGAGAGAACTTATCTTGATTAGCTGACGCGAGGTTGGTAAATTGGTCGTAGAAATTCGGCTGACGTTTCGGCGACCCGCCTTCTTCAGAGCCTGGGCGTATGTAGTATTAGTCTATTTGAATGATTCGGATGGTCGTATTTATATGCTGCCTAGGTCAGGTTAGAAGATCAAACGAAGAAAGGGTGCGAGATTTTGCGTGATGGTGACGCACTCGTCCCTTTAGTTCATTTCGGGATTTTGAGCGTTTATCCAAAATGCCTCAAGAGTTTTGCGCATGGATGTTTTTTGATTCCTGCGCTAGGATTGTGACAGTCACATATATTGCGCTTTTGTGCCTTATGTAAACTTACCTAAGTATAAACGGAAAAGAGGGGAATTGTATGAGATCGGGCACAATTTATTTACTAACATGTAAAACATGCGGGAAGAATATATAGGCGAAACGGGTAGACCAATTTTTATCAGCATAAAAGAACATCTAGATAGCAAATTTAAAGCAGATAAAACCAAACCTTTAGATTTACATAGGGCACAAAAACACAATAAATGTGACTGTCACGATCCTAGCACAGTAATCAAGAACATCCACGCGCAAAAACTCTTGAGGCATTTTGGATAAACGCCCAAAATCCCGAAATGAATCGAAAGGACCAATGCGCCAACATCACACGTGATCTCGAGCCCTTTCTTCGTTTGATCTTCTAACCTGACCTAAGCAGCATATAAATAAGATCATCCGAATCATTGAAATAGACTAATACTATATACGTCCAGGTTCTGAAGAAGGCGGGTCGCCGAAACGTCAGCCGAATTTCTACATCTGCTTTACCAACCTCGCGTCAGCTAATCAAGATAAGTTTTCTCGATTTTCATATAACAACTAATTATGCCGAGGTTTATAGAAAGTCGAACTTTTGGATTAAATTCGAAGAGTTATCTGCAAAATAAGCTTGTTCGCGGAGACGAAATCGTCTTTTGATTAACATCTCGAATCATTTCTGTTTCTCAATACTATTCCACAAATTTGTGGTATTGCTTTCATGTTGTGATGGGTGTACGATGGTCTAAGAAATAGACTGTATCGTGAGAGATTGTGCTCTAACACACCCAAACACCCTCTGCAGTCAATTTCAATGGAGTATTATTTTCAACAAGATTTCACGGAATTTTACTGTCTTCCACCTGAATTTTCTCCATTATTTCTATTTTGTTTCAGAATCATCTAAAGTTGTCCATTATTTGTCTTGGTAACCATGAGTTTCTTCTAGGCTTCAGTGTCATGGATACGTCAATGACACGCTGAGTATTTTGCGAGTTTTCTCACAATTTACCGAGACTGATGTCCACTGCTGACTTACAAAGTTTTTATTTTGGGTCTGAAAATCTTAAAGATCTTTCGGATTCTGCTGCATGCAAAACATATTAGCAAATAAGCGGTGGTTGTTTATTGCGTGAAAACCAAGAAACTCTTTATAGGTAGAATTTTTGGAAAAGAAAAATTGTACTCAGCTTGTAAGGGTCATTTTCAAACCTATCTAATGAGATCCGATAAGTATTCCACGCTGCGTGACACAATCTTTGACAAGACGAAAAATCAGTGAAGCTATAGCAGGAGTAAATATTGAGTAAAAGGAAGTGCAGCTGTAGCAGTAGTCAGATCGTCACCTTATTTGTTCGCATTGGAAACCCGTTTCCAGTCTTTCACGTAGAACACAAAATAATACATCTATAGCGAGACAGAGTCGCATAAATTATGAAGTCGATCGAAAGGACGGAGAGAATTTTTCAAATGGTCGTTCCAGTAGTACAGATCTCACTTACTGAGAGGCTCACAGTCGGTAAGTTGCAAAGCAATGAACATAGTTCTGTCGCGGGCATGAAATAGTCGAAAAAAATCGCAAGAAAAGCTACTGGGAGGTTTAACGGGGGTGGGGGGGGGGGGGGGGGGGGAAATATCGCTCACTTATTATGACTCAGTAGCTTTCCAGTGTTATTGTGAGCATACTCAGAACTTACACCCACATCCCGACAAGGTTTCGTAGATATCAAAGATGCTGTGTTGAATATAGGAAATCGATCTCCTGACCTCGAAAGGGCTTTAGTACGACAGCTTTGAGTAAGACGAGTAGGCTAATACGTCAAGGATTACTGAATTTTACGACGTTTACATAATGAAAGAAACTGTTTTCCAAAACGTGTAAAATCTAAATTTTCCATCAAGGGTCTCACAGTGCAGGGAGTAGCATTGAGTACAGCATTAATTAATAAGTCTGAGAAACAGACAGAGCTCAACTAAATATTGCTTATGACACTGATAGATGTAGTTTTCCTCCTTATAATAATATTATAAAGAGAAAAGGATAAAACTCTCCGCGTTAATCAGTCCTGGAGACATGCACCATGCATTCCTCTTCGATATTTTACTTCGTCTGAGGTGAGTGAATGCATATCTGGCCTTTACAATGACTCGCGGTGGCCTCCCGCTGTATCGAGTCAGTGATGCTTATCTTCCCAGACAAGTCTATGACCAGTCACGTACTAAATTTCCGAACCTGGCGAGATGGATAGTTTGGGGAGCCCTGGGCTCGCGATTAAATTTGTGCGACGCAAAACACCCCTTGACCACTGTGCCACATGCGCTTCTTTTCTGCACATAGGACTAGATCAGTCGGCAACATTGTTTATTTTCGTCAAATGGCTGTAGCTACTGATATAGTGACCAAGCCTGAACGCTTACTGTTACAGAAAAATGCGGAGAATGCTAGCTTCCATCATAGC